TGTCTTATCCATGCTGTATATATATATATATATATATATATATATATATATATATAAGTATGGGCTAAAATAGTAGCTAGTTAGTCTCGATTGTTCATCATTATCATACACCCCTTTTCTGTACTGATAACTGCAAGTGTCCATGTTTGTAGCTGTACAACCTAGCTGGGAGAAATTATGCTTCTTTAGTTGTTCATGTATAGTTGCCCAGTAATTAATTACTAGATGTCAAAAAAAAAAATTATCAGAGTACTAATTTCAAAACATTTGCCAAAACAAAATGACTTGGGTAGATATGTAAGCACAAACACTTGTACCTGAGACCAGTGTATGATTTTATGGCAACATAATAATGCCTATATTAATCCTGTTATAATGAACACAATATATTCCCAATATGATAATGATGCAATATTCTCAAGAACCATGTATTAATTAGATTAGGTTCAAAATTCTTGCCATAAGTAAATCCACCTCAGGAAATTAATCACGCAAATATTTTATCATCCTATACTAAACAGAAAACGATTAATTTGTCAGCATAATCAATCATACCAGTGGTGTTCAGAAAGCATTGAAATTTTCTTTCCCACATACTAAATACCAGTAAATAGCAGTTGGCAAAGAACTGTGTAAATAGGTCGATATTTGCTAGAAGCGCCACGTTACGAGCTTCTACAATTAAGTGGTGTGCAACAAAATGGTAACGAGGAGTGTCTTTTGTTTGTTTAAAAGCTGCTACTAACTTTTGAATTCTACGCTATGCAGCAAAATAGATGATTGCAATGTGATAATGCCAGGCCCTACAGTACTACCGTAAGGACCGCAGTTGAGAAGTTTGGTGGATAATCTTTCTCCATACCACATACACGTGTGACTTAGCATCCCGAGGACATCAATCTGTTTAGTCCTCAGTTTTCATGGGTGGCAGTTCCAGATAAGTGATGATCTTAAAGCAGTTACATCTGGATCTTACGAAACTCATAAAATAGTATTTTGGAATGATGGGTGAAATGTGTCATTCTTAACGGAGACTGCTGGCAGGATATCTAGTTGTCATAATGATGGGTGAAAACGTGTCATTCTTAACGGAGACTGCTGACGGGATATCTAGTTGTCATCATGATGGGTGAAAACGTGTCATTCTTAATGGAGACTGCTGATGGGATATCTAGTTGTCATCATGATGGGTGACAACGTGTCATTCTTAACGGAGACTGCTGACGGGATATCTAGTTGTCATAATGATGGGTGAAAACGTGTCATTCTTAATGGAAACAAGGAATATCTGGTTGTCGTTATCCTCAACTCTATTACAATACATTTCCATGTCTTTCTGAATATCCCTCTTACATTAACTCCTCCAGAAGCTTGCACAAATAACTAATATTAAGTTACCAAGGCACTTCGATGTTGTGTTTACATGTAATTTGGGATAAGCATTAGAAACCGTTACTTTAACTTTAGTAGATGACGTACAGTTTAGAAGGTTATTTGGTTTAATGTACCGTTTGTTATTCAAGGTGTTTCAAAGAAAAACTCAATTACTTGATGTAATACGGATTTGATGGTAAAGAGGTAAGTTTACTAGCAGTTTGCTTGGTTGCGAGTAGCTTCAGTGTACACTAGTTATGGAAATTTATTTCTTATTTGTTAAATTTGTCATTAGCCATGCTGTGAAAATAATTTAAACTTGATATGTATACTGTTTTGCAATAGTCTTACCATTCATTGTCTTATCCAGCACATTTTAAGTGATAAAACGTTATTGTTGATAATACTGCATAGTCAAAGTTTACTTTGTTGTTGCTGAAATAGTTTTAGAAGAACAGTTATTCTTAGATTTTCACTAGAAATTCAAAGTGCTCTTCGTGATGGATTTTCACTTTTAACTACTTAATGAAAGTTTAGAGAATAATCTGTATTAAGTCAAGTGAGTGTTCTTATGTTCAGTACTTAAGTTGAGATGACTAAATTAACCAGAACTAGTATTGAAGATCTTGTAATTATATGTGCAAACATATTTTTTACATAGTAACAAACGACTTTTGTGTGTATGGGGTTGTGAGGTTCAGCATTGGAACTTCATGTTGCACAAAATCAAAGATAATCCAAATGTCCTGATGTGGAAGCTTATTTTAACTTCTTTATCCAAGTTAACGGAATACTTCTGACATGTCTGTATATTATTTGTATACACGTTCTTGCTTTTGTTAGGCTTGTCATTGTTCTTTAAAAAGTAGCATTGAAAGTTTCGAAATTGTGGACAAAAAATTAGTTGATATTTTCTGACGTTTTATAAAGAATCCTGAAACCTGCATCTTCTCGGTATTCGCGATTAATTGACATGATAATGTCTATCAACCTTATGCTACATAAAACACCAAAAAAAAAAAGTGTTTCTGTATGTGTTTTTAGTAATATCCACATACCTTTGCATTTTATCGGGTTTGAAATAAAAAATATTACTGCCATTTTCAGAATCTGTTTTTCACTTTTTTTTTAACCTGTCCTTCATGAAATGTACTCTTAGATGCAAGGTGAAATACCTATGATTTTTTTTTTTTTAGTGACGTTAGTAACTTACCCTTTCTAAATGTAGCTCATTCTTGACGTGTTGGATAATAAAAATCCCAGATGTCGCTGATAATAAAGCAGTATAGAAATTTAAAAGTATGCTTATAAAGCAGGTGACAGTATATATACATATACATATATATATATATCCACTGTGTCAAAAAAATAAAAGCCAAAAAACAGAAAAGAACTTGTGTGTGGTAGGTAGTATTATTAAATATATGTATAAGTTATGTAGCTTATGATATTTTCCAAATATTGTCCTTTTTTTTTCTTGTATATTTTTATCTATAACATAAATGTACTTGATAAGAGTAAGCATAATGTTATTTCAGTTTTGTTTTTATTGTTGGCTTGTTGAAATTCAATATTATATTAAATGTGTTTACAGTATTTTTTTATGGACTCCACATGCTGCTCCTCTGGTTTCTAGATGAGGTTTTCAGGCTTCACGACCAGTCTTCTTCATTTCCGAAGAACAACTTAAGCATGGAGCTCAAAAATCTCATCTAAAAAAAGCAACAGAAGAATTCATAATTAACTCTGTTCATATCCTTATCATAAAAAGATCTATGTGCTAATTGAGTATCAGAACTGAGTTTATAAAATGTGATATTTTAATCATGTGTTTAAGTTTTGCCGTTTGTACTTAGTGTTTTTAAAAAAAATGGTAATTTTCTGTATTCCTTGTTTTTTTTAGTGGCCAAATCTATAGAATTTACTAGTAGCAATGCCTTATGTTAATTTATTCAAACAAATTTGGGATTGTTAGATATATTTTGCTGGAGAATGCACCTCTGTGGCTGATGGCTTTGTATTTTGCACAGATGTTGTCCAGAACTTTTTTTTCCTATTTATTTAAAGAAAAAGAGTAATGATAATGTCAAATTTTATTTATTATCTTTGGTCATATGATCCTGTTGTTTTTTTTTTTTGGTCCCTCCATTATACTTGTTTACCAAAAAACCCAAATAATTACCTTAAGGTGTGATTTACGCACACATCTGCAGAGGTCCAGTTCCACGAATCAAGATGGAAGCTTTAACGACAGTTATTCTGGTATTAATGCATTTCTTTTATAATTATACAAAATTTTACAGGGTACTGTATTTATTACAAAAAATTGACTAGGACTAATCGTTCCAGTGCAACTAATTTTCCAGAAAAGAGAAGTAATACTTGTTGAAATTAACATATTTTTTAAGAGTGATTGGTAATACAGATATATTAAATAATTAATTGCAAGCAAGTTCTATAATAAAGATGTTTACATTCTGTAAACAAATAAAACAACAAAAATTTGATGTTTTACTTGAGAAGCTATACTGGTAGTTTCCTTGGTTATATAAAAAAAATACTTAATCTTAAGTGATTAACACAAGATCAAAACTTTCCTGTAGTGTAGTAATCATGACCTTCAAGTCCAGTGTTAAGTAATATAAAATGTGTAGTAGTTAGGTGAGGTGCTTATTATTGTGTAAATTATAGATCTTGAGGCACAAAATAAACCTTTTTTTTTATTTTACACTTTGAAAAGGATTATTTCTTCAATATATGGGTACAGGTAATTCTATGGTTTAAAAAAGAAATGTTTTTTTTTTAAACACACACACACAGTTTATTGGATAAAGCCATAAATTATAGTTGTCACAAAATGTTATGAATGGCAACAAGTCATTTTAAGGTCTATACTTTTACCCAGTAAATTTTTGGTGCTTAAAAAGCTGTTGTGTCATCTTTTTATTAATCTTCAGCAGAAAGTTCATAGATTGAGCTGGAGTAATTTCATAAGTTTCTGATCAAGTGACCACAATCACATTATATACTTTATTTGATAAATACAGAACATGTAACAGCATAATTACAAATCCTTCAGTAACACCATTTCACACGAATAAATACCAAATGTAAAACAAATAATTGTTTTACATAAAGTTATATTTAGCTTCTTACAACAAGGATATAACGATGGTCGTCGTGCTACTTCTTACTAATGTGCAATTACAGCAAACTACAGATAAATACAAGTACATGTTTTAAAATTTATTAATTGGAAATAGGCAACTACACCAAACAACCAACAACCGGGAATTCACTGTATTTTACAAAGAGAGTACAATAGATATACCTACTCATAATTCAAACCTGATTAAACTTTTGTTGATACCACTAAAAAATTGTATAAATTACAAGCTATACTAAGTAAAAGAAAACTGTAAATGAAGTTTTAATGGCACTCCTTAGTCACCCACCGTTTCTTTCAAATAAACCACCCGTTATTAAATACTATATAGGGTAAGGTATTAGAACCAAAAACAGAATGTGCAAAGACAAATAGTAAAACATCGGGACTTTCATCTTGTAGCCGAAATACAACTGGTTAGGAAAAATGTGTACCCAAATAATTATTTTAATCATAATACCAAGAAAAATAAAATACGGCCACAGATTCCCAATTCTTTTATTTAAATGTTGATATTTTTTTTAGTTTCACCGAGTTTTGTAATTAAAGAACGTCATATAAAAAAAAATTAACATTTTTAATTACTGGGTAATTATCTTGGTTACAAATACATCATTAAACTCTGTTCAGCTCCCACAAATTTCAACTTTAGTTTTAGCTAGATCAGACATCTTTAAAACACTAACGTTTGTGAAAATATATCTCATTTTAAACAACAGAAGAAACTGTGATTCACAGTTGTTCTCACGTTAGAGTTGTAGTCAGCTTTGGTAGCTTAACTTCACAGGGGGTATAGGGTTTCATATAATATATTTTACATATACCATCTTGAATATATGGATTGAAAACATCTTGGTTGCTTGAAAATCAATAGTATGTACATATATATATATATATATATTTTTTTTTTACAGGTTGTAATAGCAGAACCAGGAATTGTAAATAACAAAAACTCTTTATACGACTCAATGCAGGATAGCTTTAAACAACATAAAATTTATATTCAGATTAAAAGTAATCAGGAACAAATGAAACAACCACATAAGACAAATTTTAGCAAGTTTCTCTAACTTCAATATGCATATGTGCTTTTGTGAAAAGCTAAAAGAAAACTTTCCAGAAACTTCCGTGACAAGGTTGTAGTAGAATAAAATTTATAAACCACAAAACAACAGATTCAAAATGAGGAAGAAATAATTAAAAACTTAAATTTTGACAATAGAGAAAATATCCAAATTAAAGTCTGTAAGGGCATTTATGACCCATTATGATTATACATTGTGAATATTCGCATGCTAAAAAAAAAAAAGTCGTTTGTTTTTCTCTAAATGAAGCAGGAAAATATCATTAAAACTGAAAGTATGTTCATATTTACGTGCACTATGCTTTTTTGTGGTTTTATTGTTAAGCACAAAGCTGCATGCTGAGCTATTTAGGCTCTGACCACTGCGGGTATTGAAACCCAATTTTCAGCATTATAAGCCATCATACATTACTACAGATATTTATTATCTTTTTATAATTAATAATATAACAATTCTGTCTAATTCACTACACCTAATGTAGAGGATGAAAAAGTGGGAAAAACAATTTGAGTAAAATATTGTAAAACAGTTGAGAAAAAAAAGGGGGGAGGGGTAATTTTGATGTGTAGGAGTGAGAAAAGGTTGGAAAAAAACAATTATACCTGTAGAGCTTAGAATGTTACAAAAACATTCTTTAATAAAAGCAATGGGATGTGGAAAAATATTAAAAATTTACCTTGAAAAATAAAAAACCTATTTCATTGTAAGAGGGTATGACATATGTATATATATCAACATCTTTTGTAAGTAGCCTTCCTTCAACCACTGTATCTCAGAGGTGTAGACTCCCAGATAATACTGAATAAAACAATATGCTAGAATTATGCTGAAATACAAAATTTAAAAATATACAGACATTACGTTGGACAACATCCAAAGATGCTCTTACATCTTTAAGCCTGATGTAACAGTAAAGAACATCTTCCGATATACCTATTTAAATAGCACACAGTGATAAACCTTAAAAACATTACTACAGACAAAACTAACTTTGTATGATTATTTACCAACAAACTATATATGTAACCAGTAAAACCTTAAATACACAATCAGACTTTGACACACTGATACCAGATCTGAAAGCACCTAATCAATTAAACACTTGTTAAGCCCAATGTAGTTTGCAAGAAGACTTAATAATTGAAATTTTCACAAAACAAGTGCAGTAATTGGATTTTTCACTCCGGGCCAAAATGTTTTTACAACCATGACACACATTTGACAAATTAAACGAGGAAACCAGATTACAACTATGAAATGCTTTCAAAGCAACAAAAACGTGATATACTCTTTAAATTTAAATATCACAGAACTCTTGAAACTCTGAAAGACCAAAATTTAGTTTCCATGAATTTTATTAAAGTTCCTGTGTAGATTAAACAACAGACCGAGTACCAAAGGCCACCTAAAACATGCAATTTCTTTACGAGGCATTTGAACCAGTTTACCAATCAATTTCGATAACCTTTTTATCTAAAGTAAAATTTAAACATGTTGATGCACCTAACAGATTTGTCATTTTCTAATTTACAAAAATAAAAGCCAGCTTTTACATTATTTTTTCTTTTTACAAACGAAAAAAACAAAACAAAAAAAACATTCCTGCTTTCGTCGTTATTTTTGAACGTCCTGATACGAACGTTTCTCTATATGTCACAAAATGTTTTAGAAAATAGTAACAACCAAGTGTATGAAAATATTTATACCCTGAAAGTTGAAGTTATCTGAAATATGCACCTACCTTTTAAAAAAACCTTTACTCAGAAACTTCAGACATTAGGTTCAAAAAGTCTTCCCCATTAATAGGTTTTTACGACAAACAACACCCATCTTCTTTAAAAGCATCAATACAGCCATTACTTGACCAAATTACTGCTGAGAACGATGCAGTATTGAATAATAATCACTGTACTTTCTGTATTACTGAATTGTTTACCAACACATTTCAGATATGGAACAGAGCCTTAATGTACTATCAAATCAATGTTACGAGAGCCTAAAATATCAGATTCTCACTCTGAATGGGCAATTTGACAAAAATTATCCTAACATACAACATTTCATACAATTCAACTTCATTGTTAAAGAGTAAGTCACAGTAAAAGAACTGTTGTATAACATAACCTTTAAGATATCTGTGGCATAATTCTCAAGTGACAGCCATATTAAGTTACCTGTTACTCTCCTAATCATGCTTAACAACAAATCATCTGTCAAAGATTTTGATGTGTTAGCACCATGTTTTGTCTACTACTATGGCATTACACACGAACGTCAAAACTATAGTATGAAATATAAAGAATTTTTGACTTGTTTCCATTTTACTCACTTACTTTCTCCTATGCGTAAATTTGGAATTTGAAGCACTGTTAAAAAAAAGAAAACAATGGAGCAGTAGAACTTGCTTTAATGAATCTTGCCAACTTCACATACCACTTAAACATCGTTGACATTTTGTGAAGAATATAAAATAAACACACGCATTATATCAACATACTCATGCTAAATCTTTTGAAGAATGGGAGTAGCTGTAGTTAATAAACATTTGAAATCTGGAAAACTCACTAAATTGTTACAATAGCATTCTGTAATGAAGTTTAGATAATGTAAAGTTCATTACACATTTCAGGCCCTTTTTTAAGTCAATACACTTACATCTACAACAACAACAACAACAAACGGTTATTAAAGAATTACGATAACTGTTTTATATATAACAAGATAACTGCTTTCATAACAACGTTACTCAGAATATTTAATTCTTGATGGAGAAACTTAAGTTTTTTAAAAAGCATGTTTAAATGTCCATTCCTTTTAGCAACAATACACATCGATATCATACACTTCTTTAAGAGTTATAAACAACAAAAAACTTTCTAATCTTTTGCATATCATTATATGGTATTTTAGTGTGTAAGTTTTGCATCTCTTGATAAGTGTAGTGTTACTCAAATCAAAACCTCTGCATATGGAAAACAACAACAGCATTGAATTAAATAGCAATTTTTTTTTTTCCATGCAAACCTTTAATGACTTTGTTTTTGTTTAACTCAAGGTTTACAAGCATCCTCTTTGTTAACATTTATAAGAGGAAGATTTCAATTTAAAAAAACAAAAGGATTTAGAAACTTATCTTACCATGCAGCTTAAAAAATCCAAACTGATTAGCGTTATGAAAAGCTGATGCTAATCCTGCATAGTTTTCGATAACAATCGGTTCGTAGGTAATTTGACATTTTTTTACCGTACCCTCACCAGTTTTTGGGGACTCGGGATTTCCGGTACCTTTTCTCTCTATCTGCTGGACGAAGGTACGAGTAAAGTCGTTGACATCGAAGGCAGCCTTGTTTCCACCTTCCTGACACACCAGAGGATGAGAGGTAAAGGTTATCCATGGAATCTCCCTTGACCATGGATTCCAGTTCTTTAAGAGGGGAAGCGGTTGACCTTGATTCCATAGGCATTTTATACCGTTTTGATGTCGTGGACTAGGTACATTCCCCAAAAAACAAAAACATCCAAATTAAAATGTTAACAGCATTTTTTTTTTTTAGAAGCATATACACCTTTGATGTCAGAACTTCATGTATGTATCTACCTTCAAATTTCTACACCAGTCTTCCACATAAACCCAAGCTTCGAAACAAAAGCCTAAAACCTCTAATGTGCATGCAACAAAACCAAAGTTAACCCATGGGGAAAGTCTACAGCAGAAACCAATACAGATAAAATATGAAACATGACGTTGTAATATAACAATAAAATAAGGAGTTAGTCATAAAAACCTTTACTGTGGCTGCAAATATAAATATGCAAATGTTGCTAAGTTGACCGATTCTATTAAGTGACTTAAGAACAAAACCTAGCGTGATATAACATTGAACCTATGAGGTTTTCGGTTATAGTGAAATGTGTACTAGAAACACTTAATCTTTTAGCATTTGATGTTGTCGGTCGTATCATGCTTTTAATTGTTAACTGTCATCAATTCAATGATAAATCCTAGCTAGAAATAAATACAAAAAAGTAAGTAGAATTTAAAAACGTTCTGTGTACCATCAATTCTCTGTGCAATAGGAAGTTAATAAAGTACTAGCATCAAGGATGTTGGTTAAGCTACAGAAAATAATTAAAAAAAGAAAATACAAAAACTCCACTGACTAGGGATTGCAATACTGGGATCCCATATGCAAATGGGGTTCCTCAAATCCCTTTCTGGACCAAGGGGGGGTGCATCATTGAAATTTTTTTCTCAACCAAATTACATGAACATTGTTAACCAATGCAGTTTCTTGATTAAACTTCATTAAAAGCTGCCTAACTCAAGCTCAATTGCTTACACACTGTAAACTGAACCTTTGATGGATTATGGCGATGCACATACCAAAGAAACATGGTTCAAGCATTCACAAGGTGAAATAAGGGTTTCAAAAACAAAGCTATTCATTCATGCAAATGCTAAGTTCTACCAATCTGTTCTCTTCGTATCATCTTTTTAATGATTTAAGTTATATAAGGAATACATACAGTTCCATTACTCTTGATTAAGAGAAAATAGAACATAATGACAGAATTTAAACAGGGTTCCAGGATTTGAGCTAATAAAATCCTGAAATTCCAGTGATTCAGAAAAAGCTTTGGGATTGCAATCCCTACCACTAACAGTATATAGTTAATCCATTGTTAAAATAATTTTGTTAAAAGAGAGAGAGTTGTGATTTATTATTAACACAATCTGAAAACCCCAAGAAAGCTATCTCGCCTGTAACTCAATCTTTTTATACAGAGGATTATTCATGATCAGTGATAGGCTGGCCATCTCTATGGCCTATGATTACACAGGTTAAAAGCCCCGATCTACTTGTTGCAATGTGAAACTTACCCCCTTTTAGGATGGATGTATTACAGAATTTTCAGACACAAAGTTCTACTTATGAACAAAATTTTGGGATTTTCAAAGAAAAGAATAAACACAGTATAGTACTTTGTTTCAGAGTTGTTGTTATTTTTTTACATTATCCAGCCCAAATGATGAGTTCTGGTATTGAATGAAAGACCTCTTGGGCAGAGACTTGCAAGATATAACAGCTTGATCTGAAATGCTATTTTGACGTGCCTGTTTGAATCCACAGTGGACAAGTTACAAGGAATATGGGGAAAAACATTCTGCAGTTAATGTGATTTTTATCACAAGAACTTAGGTCTATTAATATCTCTAGTGTTGAAAAAGTAAGACAGGATTAGAGCAGAGAATGAACAAGTTACTCCACTCAGCATCTAACAGTCACATGCTGGAAGTATCAGAAGAGTAAACCGAAGAACCTAGCAGTCCATTCCAGTAGAAACTTCTCTTGACTCCAGAAGCAAGATAATTCACATCGATTTAGGTCTACTTAATCAACAAGATAGCCATGTTCGCAAGTTTCTTCCAAAGCTAAATCAAAGGCTGACTGTTGAAAGCTGTATAATCTTGCCATTGATACAAAATTTCAAAAAAATATTGTAAGAGAATGTGACGAAAAGTTTGCTAAAGGATTAATGGTGGTTGAGGTTACAACCGTAATAGTAAAAACATCTCGAGTGGAGACAAAGTTTCAGGACAAACTCTGCATACTTTCAAGGCTAACTTGCAGATGCAACTATAAATGTGATAAATCCCATTTTTTCAAGGAATGAATAACAAAAACAGGTTATGGCTCTATGATGCCAGCCCTCAGGATGCAAATACAAATAGAATTTCATGCTGTACTATTCGTAGATATTTTCTATGGAGTTCTGTACCTCTGAATTGGTCGAAGAGAGTCCTCGAAAGTCATCATCTGTACATAGCTGATGGACTTTGCAAAGACTGTAAAGAGCAGGAGAGGACAACATTGATCTAAGTATATTGCACAAAAGTCTTTTGAAGTACAAACTGTGCTGCAGTGTAATAACCACGACCATCATGCCATCAATGGTGGAAGAAGGTGCTGTAAAATCTAACCTCTCACCCTTGTATCATTACCATAGATCTTGAACAACCCTCTGTATTATTCGATACTCCGGAACTAAAGCTCATGAATAAGTGAACCTCATCAACTAATCCCTCTAATGATACACTTTTATATACTTGAGCCCAAGTTTCTTCTCCAAGAAGACATAGCTTTTACTTAAGGGTTGACAAACACAAAAGCAGTGGCAAGAAAGAAAGATGAAAAAACAAAACAAAATTACTAAATGCATGCATTTTCACATTGATAACTTAATAAAACACCAATTACACATGTTTACGCCCACACCTGGGTACTAGCAGGTTTGCTTTGTCTGTGGCTTCATTTTGACTCTGCAAAGGCGGCTGACCAGGCTGAGAGTTCGGCCTTATCTGTCGAATTTTGGGTATAACTTGTTCTTTCACAAAGCCAACTGCTTCATTAATTCTCCTACAAGTGCATCAAAACAGATAAGAAGATAATGCCACACAAATACAAATGTGCCTAATGCAGAGTACTGAGATGTGATATAGGGCAGACATGCAAACTAAAAGCTGAAAAAGTTAAGTCACAATTTTGTCTTGCATGTTATTAATATCTGAATAATGAAATTTCAAAATTATGGTATGATTAATAGAATATATGTAAACCAATTATTAACTGAAGGTCATTCACTGACTACAACACAATAGGGGAAAAAATCTTTAATTTCCAAGTGTCTGAACAACAGGGCATTTTTATAGAGAAAGAGACGGTAAAATATTCAGTATCACTAGACATAAACTAACCTCTTATCTTTTGTCCACCTTAATGTACATAAATATGCTCTCTACTGCTACGAATAGTTAGGGAAAGATTGCGAAGTTCTCTAGCTATAATTATGTTTTCATTATAAGAAATAAAACAAATAAATAATCTTTATTAAATACTGCTGTGAAAATTATTAAAGGTACATGAACACATTTAGAAAGAGGCATGTTTATCAAATGTCAGAGAATGAACAGTTTTTTTAGTGTAGCGACTACGTTTTGAAGTTGCTGAGCTAAAACAGATCACCTGCTAAGGATATACGAGGGGTTAATTCTTGAGAATCTCTATATCACTGTGATGTCAGAGTTAGGACTTGCGTAATGTTCAGTATACAAGAGAACAAATGAATGTATATACGAAACTAGGAGTCCCTCTTTTCAAGTAAAACCAGTTTAAGGCAGTTTCACTCACAAAACGGTAATTTCAACTATTTCACTTAACAACAAGAAACCAGACTTTTTGTTTTTTAAAAAGTTTTTGTAAAGAACTTACTGCTTTAATAATTTTCTATCATATTAGCATAGCTTAAATAAAGAAACTGAAGCACAATTATTTTATTTTTCTTATGCACGAGAGCTTCGATTAACATGGGTAAACTACTTATTGGAGACAAATTCCTCATTTCTTTTGCAGTGTATGAGAATGATACATTTCACGATAGTCATTTTTATAGTCCACAAAAATATCTTTTTCTTTTGTGAGGATACATGAATTATTCATGCTCATGCCTAATCTCACAAGATAGCCTTTGTTTCTGATGATTACGCACCAAGAATCGTCAGATATCTGTAAAACTCTCAACGAACGAGAACCATTCTTTTCGAAAACTTTTATCATATTTTTAAAAAATAACTGATTGTGATTATTAGTTCACATTAACAAGAGTTTTTAAACTTAAGACCTGACGTGGTAATAAAAGCATGACTCTAATGCAATATATAAAAAATTCATAGCTTTCAGAAGAAGGGTGAGGAGTCGTACCACAATAAGATGTGTCTTGAATAATATTAGAATAATTTTACTTTTACAGAACACATCATCTTATGTGGCCTTGTTAACAGATAAAAATGATAAATCAACAAATAATTATAAAATACAGTAACCTATAGCTTTTACGCACGTTGCAAACGCTTCAGTTCTCTAACAGTGTTCTTATTTTCCAAACTACAAATCATACATACCGCTGAGACGTACCATTTTAACAAATGCTGCTTTTAACTCGTCACTTTCAACAGATGCACAGTGTAAGTTTTACATTCAGAAATGTTAAGTATGGTACTTAATATTATTTGAATATAAAGTGACTAACTAACTTCTGTCCTGATTTGGAAAATCATAGTACAAGGATTAGTCCCTCAGTTATAGGTACATGTGATCGTAAGGTTTGGTGGTACATAACGAGAGACAAGCTTTTAAATTCAATTTACTAGACGATTCCAGCTGCCCTTTACAAGAAATAGCGCAACAAAGCAATTCAGTTTAGGCTGATGTAGATATGCTTAATCAAACAAGAAGGCAAAGCAAAGCATCACGTTGGCAGTATGGAGGGAAAAAAAAACAACAAAAATTCAACAAATAAAAAAAACAATAGTTTTGCAAGCCTACTTACGGCATCAGAGATTTCTCGGGATACTTTAGTTCTCCAACAACAATCTGATCAAACTGGGTAACTGGATAACGTTTGTATTCCAACAATTTCTGTGCTATGAAATCATATTTCAAGCTGATGAGGGTGTGGTCTGTCAAAAAAATCAAGCGCTCCTTCTCATTGTCCCAGTGGTCAATCCTGTTAGTAGTTATTTAAAAAATAAAATAAAATTAATGGCGAAGGAGCTAACAATTCAATCAGTTTGTTTAGGCTACAGCAACACCCATAATAGCAATAACAATAAATTGGAAAAGTTAAGGTCCTATTTTATGTGAAATTATTAGAATATAATCTATCTTCTTATCCCTAATTTCATTTTATTTTATTTATAAACAGTAAAATATTCCTTAAAGAAAAACTTTTTGTTTGTACGTGAAAATTGAAGCTTTGGAGGTTGATATCACGGCCTAAGTTAACATCAGTCATATCCGTGTTAGAATATTCTAAATGAATTAGGTTGTTTTAAAAATCTTTAACATGACAACACGGAATGTTGGCAGGTAAGAGAGCTGTAAAGGTTTCCAGTAAGAAGAAATATGTATACCTATTAGCTTTCTTTCTTACAGCAATCAAGAGTATTAGTAGCCCGTCAAATAATTTTGT